CACTCTGTAAAGAAAGGGGACCTGGGACAGGACACTGGGCAAAGCCTCTGCACCTGCCACGTTCATTCACCCAGTGGGAGTACTCCATGCCTGTGGGTTCAGGGGGGGACGCCCCTGAGGGTGGTGAGCATGGGGGGGCGGAAGTGTGCAGAGATCTGAAGCCCTGGCCGCAGCCGTTCGCAGTTGAGATGAGGGGCTTTATCCCGAAGTCCTCTTGTGTCTCTGAGGCTGAGGGGGGCCCACTGTCTGCTCTTCCCGAGGTGAGGGTCGCCTGAGCACAAGGCTGACGTCTGGCACCCACTTGGGGCCCCGCTCGGCTCATTATCACCTGTGGGACCTTGGACAGGTCACCCCTGTGGCAGGTGCTGCCTCTCGGGTGACCTTGGAGGAAGCACATGACTGCTTTGGGCCTTGGTTTTATGTTACATGTGTGTGATGTGTGTTAGAAACTCCCAGCATATGTGAAAGGCATTTTCATGCCAAGAGATTTGGCTCCTTTTTCTTACCTGGGGAAGGAACAGAAAGGAGCCGTAGTTGATTCTTAGAAAACCTCCCCTTTGCCTTGCGCAGACCACACTGTCATCTGACTCCGGTCCCGGCGGAAGCTGCTTCCCCTCAGCCATCCTTGAGCGCGGGTGGGAGGAAGTCGTGCCCAGACTTCCCCACAGGACCCCGCACTCCTGCTGGGACCGGGTGCTCTCACGGATCCCGACGGGAGAGTGATAAGGACGATGTCCCGGGAGCAGCACAGCCAGGGCTCCTCCGTGTGCCCGACCCCCACTTGGTGTCAGCGTGCGGACCACGGGGGTAGGGCGCCTCCCAGCCTGGACTCGGCATCCCCCGAGGGTTCTCTCTGCCTCCCGGGCCCCTCCCCCCTCGCTGCCTGCCCCTGACCCATCATTTCCATCCAGGAGAGAGGACGAGTCGTCCCTTGTTTGGTAGCAGAGCCGTTGCCATCCAGGGCTGCAGGCCGGGTCAGGTGCACAGCACACCCGGGGAGGAGGCCCGCCTGCACGCAGGGCTCTCACGCGGACGTGCCTGCACTCGGGCTGTGTGCAAACACGATTTGCACGCCCAGACTTGTTTATGAGGCTGGCGTAATTGGCTTGCCCGGCGCAGCACCTCGGCGCCCCCTCCCACTCCCTCCTGCCCCTCACCCCCACCATCTGCACACACCTCGGAAGAAATTAGAAACGTGACCACAAACGCCAGTTGTTGGAAACCCACGAATCCGCCACCAGTCATGCGCGCTCGGCGTGGCGGAGGGGGCGGGCCGCGGCGTGGGGGAGTAATTGGTGAACCCGAGGTGAATGAAATAATTGGAAAAGTGAGGTGTGAGTTCGTTACTGAAGTGTGAGCGTGGTGGGGGAGGGAAGGAGGGCCATGTTTAAAAGCCCGGTGTGTCCCTTTTATTCACAGCTTCTGATACAGTAATTGCTATTTTGTGGTTTCTATTATCTACACAGTGGGGAGTGTGCGTGTCTCGTGTCTCCTTCCCCAAGCGGCGGCGTCTGGGCTCGGGGGAGGAGTCCTGGGTGCCTGCGGTTTCCTCCCTCTCCGGGCCCTGCGGGCCTCACCCGTGGCGGCCTCGGCTCCCAGGACACGAAGTCCACACACAACTTCCTCCCAGAGCCACTTAAAATGGCTCTGCGGGCTTGGCTGTCAGATAAGAGCCTTAATAGTGGCTGGTAGATTTATATATCGCTCATCTCCAAGGAGCTAAAGTTACTTCATCGATTTTTTTGTCTCCCCCAACCCTTTCTTTCTCCCCATTTTAATTCTCTCGCTCTCAGATCACTAGCAGCACCCTAATATTACCCCACATGCTCATACAGGAGCCAAAGCCTTCCACGCCGGCCTGGTTCTGGCTCCCGGAGGGAAGCCACGGCAGGTTTGAGCCCGGGGCCTGGTGGGGCCTTGGTTTTCTCACCTGTAAAATTAGAGGGTATCACTACTGCCCCCAGTCATCGTGCCTGGAAACAGTACATTGAAAAGCCCCAGCCCCTCACAGGCCCCCAATCACTGGGCCCCGGGGTGATGACAGCAATGGTGGTGGTTTCACAGCCTCGGGAGGTTCCTTCCGAGATCTAGCCCTGATCTCCTGCTGCTCCATGGGCCCCAGCCCTCTCCTGTCCTCTTCCCAGACAGAGGGGGCAAGCTCCCATCACCCTCCCTGAGCCCCTGAAGAATAATGGGACACAGCCTTTCGTTTGCCCGGCAGATATCTGCCTGCAAACCCCCGACGGGCTGTGATCCTCCCCCACCCGGCCCCCTCACTTCTGATCCCTGCCCACCATCCCCCCTGGATCCAGGGTACCCCTCTGTCTTGCCCCCCCACCCCGCGCCGAGCTCTCAGTGCCACTTCCCCAGGCCACGTAAGCATGGCTCCTCCAGCCTCTCCTCATCAGCTCTGTTCTCCACCTTTTAATTATTTCCCTCGCCTTTCTCCGGACCCCGAGCTGCTTACCATGCACGGAGCATCCACAGCTTGCCGTGTGCTGCAGAGAGGGAGGAATTAACCTCTCAGTCTCTCTCCCTCTCTCTCCTCCTCTCCCCTCTCCCCCTGTCCCTCTCTCTCTCTCTCTCACATGCACACACACAGGCTGCTCGCCAGAAATGAGAGAGGGCTGAGAGGAGATCTGGGCAGAGGCTGTGAGACCATCAAAGGTCAGGACTATGGCCGTGGGCAGAGGCAGGAGGTTTGTCCACGGTGCAGGTGGGGGGAACTGGGCTTGGTCAGCCTCCCTTGTCCTGGGGTCTCGGACAAGTCACTGGACCCCTCAGAGAGCCCTCAGGGCATTCCTAGCCTCCCCATTCCTGAAAGGGGCCAGTCCCCTCCAGGTCCCCTCCAGGTAACTGAGGGGTGAAGCGGGCGCAGCAGAAAGGGAGCTCAGCATCAGACACCCCCGAATTCACCTTCTGGCCCTGCCACTTACTAACAAGAACTGCTGCCTCCCTGAGCCTCAGTTTCTTTATCTGTAAAATGGGATGGTAACTCTGATCATTAGCATTCGTGCTGTCCTACGGAGCCCGTGGCCTGTTTCAGGTAAACCGCATCACAGCGCTCTGAGTGAGCACAGGCGTAATGTACCAGGGGTCGTGTCTGCCCTTGGGCTACCATTCACATGTTGGTTCAGTTCAAAAATACCGCCAGGCGTCCACGCTGATCCAGGCACTGGTCTCCCTGCTGCAGGCCCCGTGAGAAACAAGACGGTGTGATTTTTACTATGGCAGAGCGGGTCCCAGCCCCAGGGGAAGGCAGAGAGCTGCACAGGCGTCCACAGCCCATCAGCACAGGCTGCTCCTGGCGGGCGGGTGGTGGGAAAGCGGGGCCTGAAAGAGCCCGGAGCCTGGGCTGGGGTGGGAAGTGGGTGGAGAGACCAGCACAACTACAGGATGTCCGGGACGTGTCTATACTGGACCTAGCGTGGCCTGGGCACATAGGCGGTCTCTCCGAGGCCTCCCTGTGCCCGTCAGCCTCCTCACACCAGGTGTGAATGCTCGCAGACTCCGCTCTCCTAGCCATCAGACCCTCCGTGCCTGCTTCTCTATGGCTCTCTGAAGAACTGGAGCCCAGGCCCCTCTATCTGAAGGCTCGGACAGAACCTCAGCCACCCCTACCCCCAAGGCCAGCCGGCAGAGGCCCGGAGGCCGGGCTCCACGGAGGAAGAGGCAGCCTGTCTGTCGTGGGCCCCGGCTGCCTTTAGGTGGCAGAATAAAGCAGGGTTTGCGGCCTGGCTCCTCAGCTGTCACATCATCTTCTTGCCTGTCCCCACCTGCCCGGCTTCTGAGCCCCAACCCACCCCCTCCACATGGGCCAGGAAGACTGACAGGGCTCCACTGCCCGAGCGCGCCAGCCCTCCCCTCCCGGGAGGCTGGCCTCGGCACCAGCAGCCCTGGTTCTGGGTTCTGTCGCCTGTTCACAGAGGCGCCAGGCGGGGGGAGCGGCGCGGCCGGCACAGCTCCGCGGAGACGTGCAGATTCATCCTGAGGACTCATCATGCCGCATTTACACAGTGTCCTGACTTGGGAAATTGGGCTGGCAGATGCCTGGTCATGCTGGCAGGGCCACGGGTTAACGCTCGGATTCAGCTTACATCGTTTCGCCAGAGCAAACGGCCTTTACCGTGTTTTTTACCCGCTCGGTCTTTGGCCCCAAAGCCTCCTCGACCGCCATGTGCCCAGGCGCCATCAAGTGTGCAGAGATTTTCAAATACAAAATAATTCCTCTCCTCAGATGCCGGGCACATTAAATATTTACCGGCAGCAGTTTGCACATGTACATTTGATAAATGGACATTAGGGCGGGGTGGGGCGTGCGGGAGGGGGAGGAACGGAGGCCCGATGCTTTTGTCTGGGAATTTCTCAGAGGTTTATGCGGGAGGACAGGCGGGCCGGGGGTGGTCCCAGCCTGTTTACCTGTTTGATCCTCTCTGGGAGCCGAGCCGCCTCCTCCCCCAGAGCGCTGCCTGACCGGCTTAGCAGACATCAGAAGGACGTGCAGAGGGAGGGGACGGGCTTAGAGGGAGTCGCTGTGTGTCACTCCGGCATCTTGCACTGAGGATACATCCCAGGCCCGGCCTTGTTCACTGCAGAGCTCCGCCGTGGGGTGGGTTCAGGGCGGGAGACGATGCCAACCCCGTGTGGAGCCTCGGCTGGCACACACGAGCAGCCCTCGCCTCCGACGTCTGGCCACGTGTGTACAGGGCTGGACACCCCGTGGGCCAGGGGAGGAGGGGTGTGCCGGCCTATCAGAGAGGAGCCGAGTGTTGTCCGTTAGCATCTTCAGCCTGCTCATTCCCCCTGTGCCCAGCGTGGTGGCGGGCCTGGAGGAGAAGGCCGCTGGTGCCCTGAACTGGCGCGAGGCGTGTGCGCGTGCTTGTGTGTGTCCGCCCGCGCTTCCCTCTCCTGCAGGGAGGCACCGAGCCTGTGAGCATCAGCCTGCCCCTCCCCCTGGGCAGACCTCCATTCTGAAACTGCCTGTGTGCCTTCCTTTCTAGCACTTTCGGGGAGTTGAAGACCGTCCGCTTGCCCAAGAAGATGACCGGGACGGGCGCGCACCGGGGGTTCGGCTTCGTGGACTTCCTCACCAAGCAGGACGCCAAGGTGAGGGGGCCCCGCCCACCGCCTCTCCTTTCTGGGCCTTTTGTAGGAGGAGCAGTAGAGGTCTGTGGTTTCTCTCTTTGTTGCTCCCCCCCTACCCTGCTAATTTGCACGGTGTCTGGGGAGAAAAGGCCCTGGGTTTTGTGTTTGGAGAAAGGCACAGTTCTGTGTCCCCTTCCTCCCTCCCCCACGTCTCCATGCAGGGACCTGGGATACAAAGTGGGCCTGTGAGTGGGCCTCCTAGGCCTCCCAGGTCAGACAGAAAGCACCTGGTCGTGCTCCCAAGTGGGCAGCGCAGAGATGCTGTGCAGAGGGCCCCAGGGGCAGCTCTTGACAAGGAGACTCCAAGGCACCGAGTGGGACCTGGGGGACTCATCTCTCCCATTCTCCTCCCTCCTCCCTCCTCCCTCCTCCCTTCTTCCTCTTTCCTCCTCCCTCCTTCCTCCTCCCTCCTCCCTTCTTCCTTCTTCCTCCTCCCTCTTCCCTCCTCCCTCCTGGTGGCTGGGCCTTCGGCTTTGAGCTGGTTGCAGCCCAGCCTCCCTCCAGGCTCCCTGGAGACACAAAACACCCTCCGCTCTAAGCAAGGCAGCCTCTGGATTGGGGTGTGGCACAGCCTCGGGCTTCATTCTCGGGTGGGAACTGACTGGTGCTGCCTGGCCCAGCAGATGGGGGCAGAGGCTGGGCCAGGGGTTCCAGCTGTGTCAGTGGTCACTGCCCTGGCCAGACCAGGTCAAAGTCCCTGGGAGGTGGCGGTGACGCTGTCCTCTGTCCTCTGTCCTCTCCCGGAGGCTGTGCCTCGGGCGGCATCTCTCCTCTCCCGGCCGATAAAGCCTCGCCCAGGTCTCACTAATGGCTGCGAACCCCCCACCTCCAAGAATAGCCGGGTGTTTGCTGGGCTTGCACCCCGCGGCCTTTAGCAAGTTGGTGTTGCCAGCGGCCCAGTGGGTGGAGCGAAGGTGATGCCTCAGACACAGCTGCGGCCTTTGTGGGCCCTGGGAACACGCACAGGCAGAGAGGGCGCCGCGGGACCTCAGGGAGGCTGCCAGCCACCTTTGTCTCCGTGTCGTGAGCTCAAGTGCCTGTTTTGTCGACACGTGGCCACGTTTGTCCAGACATCTGCTCCTCTTTCTTCTCTGCTGGCAGCCTTTCCCTCGCCTCCCGCAGTGGCCGCAGGGACGGCAGCACTGCCGCGTGCACCAGCCCGGCCTCGGCTCAGGAGCCGGCACAGCCGTCCGGAGCACCGGCCGCTCAGCTTTCTTAGCCCCGCGCCTCAGTTTCCTCATCTGTCAAACAGCAGTGATAACAGGTGCCTCCTCACAGGGTGAAGGCAGACGGTGCCCATGAAACCTGGCACTGGGCCTGGCACACAGGCGCGCTATTTCCTCCTCGTTTCCGCCAGCCAGGTCCCTTCAGAGCTGGCCGGCCCTTCGTGTGTGGGCCAGTGCCAGGGCCCTGCTGGAGCGCAGACCTTGAAGCCAGGCTGCCCGAGTTCGGATCCTCGTGCTGCCGCTCGCCTGCCCTGTGAGCTTGGGCAGGTGGCTTATTTGGCGTGTGCCTCGCTTTCCCCTTCTGAAGCGGTGGTAGGGTTTTCCTCCTCGAGGTGTCGTGAGCTTTGGGTGAGGTGACTTTCTTAGGACAGGGCTGGCCCCAGCAGCTCTGCCTGTTAGCTGTGAGGCGGAGGGGGACGGTGCGGACGGTGATGATCTGAAAAGGGGGCGGGAGGGAGCCATCCTCCGCACTCGGCCTCTCCGGGATGGGCGTGGCTCGCAGGCCTAGCGGGTCAGACCCGGCACAGGCTCCCTGTCTTGAAATTTCGTGGGCCCACGGCCAGGTCGCGGTCGTCATCAGAACAGAAAGCGGGGAGCTCTCAGGTGGGCAGGGCAGGGCGCGTGCCCGGGTGGCCAGGCTGCGGATGTGATTGCCAAAGCCCATCCCAGCATCTGGTGATGTGTGGACAGGCTCCTCCCTCCGTCCTCCCCTGCCACCCACTCTGGGCTCCAGGAGGAAGGGCACCCAGGGGAGTGAGGACTCACCCCACAGCCCCTCGCCTCCAGCAGGTGGCAGCCTGGCTGGGAGGCAGTTTCAGGCCCGGCCAGCCCGGCAGAGGCTCTTCCCTGTCACCACTGTGCGGGCACCCATTGTGCCGCCACCAAGCAAGCGGCCTTCCGCGAAGCCCGGCCCACAGAGCGCGTCTCTCCTGCGAAGCTCCCTGTGCTCTTTTTGCTTCCTGGGAAGCCGCCTGGCTCTCCCGTCTGCCTGAAGGACCTGATTGTCTTCCGAGTGGAACACGTAGGGCTCTCCACTGACCCGGAGGCGCGCACTGCCTCCTGGTGAATGGAGTTGTGAATATGGTAAATATCTAGTTAGCTCGAGAGTGGGCGCGAGTTACAAGAGGGTGAGCAATGCTGCGAGGAGATGTTGAGCAGAGGAGATGTTGAGCAGAAACCCCGAGGATCTTTTCTGCCTTCGCAGGAGGAATGCTGGGACTCGCGGGGCTGGCAAAGGCGGTTCTGTGGGCCCTGAGCCCCGGGTCCTTGGGGTGGCCTTCCTCTCTTGGAAGCATTCCAGGAAAGCGACCTTTAGAAACCTCCCCGGGCCTCGATGCCCCCCCTCCCCCAGGCCTCACCCCCATTTCCCATCACGGGAAGATAGGCGATCGGTCACTCTTGGCTTCAGCACCTACTTGAACTTGGAGCTATGAGCCTCCTGTGGGGGCCCCACGCAGTCCTCAGATGGGAGGGAGGGAGGAGGGAAAGAAAGGATGAGAAGGATGGATGAGCAGATGTTCCGGGGGAGACGTAGGGAAGGAGTAAAGCTGATTGTGGAACCTCAAGTCTGGAAAGCAGTGGTTTCTGGGCAGGGCCGGGCCGGAGCCTGAACCCAGATGTGGGCTCCCAGCACAGTGCTCTCTCCCTGCACCTGTCAGTCCCCTGGCCCCACCGCCTCTGCTGGGCCCCAAGCAGGTGTCATCTGCGTGCCCCCTGCCCTCAGGGAGTCTGAGTCTTCCGACCCTGCTCCATGACCCGTGTTCCACCCACACCTCGTGGGGAACTCTGTTATCTGGGAAGCCCCTCGGGTCGAGACACACTTGGAAACAGGAAGAGGATTCTAGCACAGGCCCCAAGAGGCTGCTGGGGCCCAGCTCAGAGTAACCAGGCAACTGACTACAATAGCCAGAGGCTCCCACGGCCGACGGCATGGCTTTGTACCCGGCATGGATACCACACACGCAGTGTCTTGCCCCAGCCAGCAGCAGCCGTGGGCTTGGGCGGGAGGTTTGCAGAAGTCCCTCCGCGATTCTCTGAGCCTTTGCTAAGCTGCGTCTGTGCACCACGCCCTGTGAACCTGCCCTGGGCACAGGCTCAGCCCGATGTCCCACGCGGTACGTGTCATCCCCCAGGTGTGATGGTCCAGCATTTTTCAAAGAACCTTCCCCCGCATGGTGGAGAGAAGCGGGGGTGGGCAAAGGTAGACGAGGACAGACAGGAAGTCAAGGACTCGAACCTTCCCGGGTGCCCTGGTCTGCGTGTACATGCGTGGCTGTCCGCAGTGTCTAAGGCGCCAGCCACGTGGTCTCTGGGTGCGGATGATGTTTCTGGAAGGGCAGCATCTTGGCTTTGATAAAAGCTATCAACTCCTAAAAGCCTGATCTGCATGTGTAATTTTTAACCCTCCAGGGAGTCTAGGAGATGGGAGGTGGGGAGCCATATGACAGAATGCAGGGCTTCCTCCCTTCGTCCATTTATCCACTGAGCTTGTGGACCACCCCCTCCTCATTCCAGCACCCCCATCACCTCTCACCCAGCCCCACCGTTTCCCAAAGAAAAGGACTTGCTGACAGTTTGGAAGAAAACCCAGAATTGTCCCTTAAAACATCCCTTGGGATCAGGCCCGGAGTGGCAGCTCATCCCGGCCCCCAGAGGAGGAGTGGGCATTCCTGCAGCAGGATCCTACCTGGGCAGGTGACTGGGGTTCCCAGCCCGGTGTGCCCATTCCCATTGGCCGAGAAGCCACCAATAGCCACTGGGATTCCATTTAGAAGCCACCGCCTCCTTTCTTCTCACAGAGCAGGCTGGTCGTGGAGGAAAGAGGGAAGGGCGACAGGGAAGGGAAGGAACGCAGAGAGCAGGCTAGCAGCCGGACACCAGAAGATCCTCTTCCCATGCACGCGCCTTTAATTCTTCCTCCCCAGCCCACCACGCTGTGTACTTTGCAGTTGCAGCTGTTTTTATTTGCCGCCGCCGCTGTTGCTTTAAAAGGTCTATTTTCACATGGAATGTTATCCAATTAGCAGAGCAATGTGTTGGCTTAAATAAACACTTGGGGGGAGCCGGCAGTAGGGAGACGTGATGGCGGTCGGCGTTGGCAGCCAGAGCTATTCTCACCGTGGTAAACAACCACAGCTTTAATTGCAGGTCGCACAGTGAAAGTCGCCTTCCTCATGTCTCACTTTTGGATGCTGCTAGGGAGGGTGCGGACACAGGGCCGGGCCCATCCCGGTGGGGGTGATGCTGGGCACCCTGCTGGGGGCCCCGTTAGGCTCTCTAGGCCTGTGGCCTTCACCTTGTAGAGTCCATGGACCAGGCGTGATTGGGATAAGCGAGCCAGACATGGCTGCTTAAGCAGTGCTGGCCGAGTAAAGGCGCAGTGAACGGTGATCGCCACCAGATGGTCAGTGGCGAGCGTGCAGCACACGCGTTTGCTTAGTTGACTGCAAGGAGGGAACAGAGCGCGGTCTCCATGGGGCTGTGGGGAGGCAGCCGGGGTCTGATGGGGACACGGCCGGTGGAAATGAGGGACCTGTGGGGTGTGTCATCCCTGGGCAGCCGCGCAGTGGTTAGCAGTGTGGCCTATGGAGTCAGCTGCCTCCTTCCAGCTGGGTGACCATGGACAGGGGACTCCATGTCCCAAGCCCAGGTCACTCCTCCGCACAACAGGAAATGGTCACGCTGCCCCTTGTGGCGATCGAGAAGATAGAAGCAGAGCTGCGCGTGAAGGGCCTC